GGAGAGAGGACAGATGACCATTGTGCAGGCTCTCCTGCACAACAAAACAGTGCTTTGGCCCCTGTCCACAAGATGGAAGATCTGACTTCTAGACCAGACACGAGTTTGGTACTTGGAATCTGCCACTTCCTAGGAAAGCCTGAGAAAGAGCACCTTTCCATTCCTCCTGGTAAATCCGGGCCACCTACCACGAGGAATGCAAGGCACACTGGATCAAAGAGAAGGTGAGGAAAGGGCAGTCAATCTTGATCTGGTTTCACAGCCCTGCTTGGTGGGTCTGCAGCAAGACACTTCTGCTACTTTCTCACAACACCCCAAGAAGATGGGATTTCACGTCCCTCATGCCTTTTCCCTCCATAACCCTTTTCACTTGGGCATCTCCAGGTGCCCTGCCCTTTTCCAGGGTTTTCTTGCCATAAGATCCCAATACATTAGAGCTTGTAGGCACTCCATTTTAGGAGTAAGAAATGTAATTTTCTATCTGTCTAACAGTGTGAACATAACAACATTAGAAATGCTAGGCTTACCTACCCCAATATTGTGGCTATAACCTAGGCCAAAAGCAAGTGTCCAGGGAAGAGTGTAAATACAGAGCAGGCACACAGCAAATCCTCCTTAGTGGATTACCACATCTTCCAGTGGTTTGTGCTCAGGGGCTTCCTGAGCCAGAGGTGGTGTGTCTCTCCTGGAAGATGAGATGTTTTGCACGTCTTGAAGGTGAGAAACATGCACATGCTGACTGTTTGTCATATGCAGTGAGTCTCATGGAGCAAGAAGCCTCAGAGCGCTGCTAAATATACGTTGAGCTGTTGATGCAAAACACAGACAGAACTTGATGTAATACCTAGTAATGGCTGGTGAGACCTAGCAGAACAAGATAGAGCACAAAAAGGTGAGAAGAGCTACTCTGGAGAGGCTTTGCTCAACTGAAGACTACAAGGCAGCTAAGAAACCTAATGCATTGAAACCAAGACAAGCTGGTTTTGGATATCACTCATCCTTGGCATCACATCTGTTTGACCCTTTAGGAATGCTTCAAAATTGCTGGATGTGATAAATCTCTTAAGTTCTGCTGTTCCAACCAATGTTTCTATTACTAAAATTGCTCATCGCAAATATTAGCAGAAAATGAATCCTGAAATGGTGTATGTTTTTTTCAGCTGTGTAACTATTATTATTTTTTATTTGAATGAATATCTGAGATGTGGGTTACCCTACTCCAGTCCTACACCAGTGTGGGACAACAACAAAGTGCTCACAGGTAACCAGCTGCCTCTTTAAATAAAGCAGTACAGTTATCAATGCTACATTCAAGAGATGTGGGGATACAACCACCACAGCCCAGTCACCACAGAAGACGAAAGAACTGGGAATCTTCTGGATTGAGCCAAGTATCAAAACAGCAAACTCGAAAGACCAGAGAAGAGGGTAAAAATGTGCATTCAGTTGCAGAGGGGCAATGTCACAGGGAGAAATTTCATGAGTTGTCTGTTGAGTGCTGCTTCCTGATCTTAAGGAGAAAAATGCTCTGCAGGCCTGGAGAGTTGAGCAGAGAAAAGTGAAGCTCAGAAATGGATGCAGTGGCCAGGGCCAGAAGACTCTTCCTTGGACAGGACAGAGAGCCAAGGGAAGGGGTGGGAAGGGAGCAAATGGATGTCCTTCTCTCCTCCTTCCTGACACGCGGCTGAGGCATAGAGCATTACTGCTGGGAGGGATCCAGGCTCCTGAGATGACAGGCCAGACCTTCAGGAGAGGCATTCAGCACATGGTTTTTCTCTAGAAGTGTAAAATCATGCCTGTGGCTGCACTTTGCCAGCTGGGGCTTTGTGCTTGGCAGCTGGCAGTCATTTAAGGGTGAAGGTCTCTTCAGCTCAGTCTCAGCCCTGTGGCTTAGGCCAAGAAAAGCCAAGGAAGAAAAGCATGCCTTGTGCAGGCAGCTTAAAAAGTCACCGGCGTCTCCTTCCTGAGGCTCACTCATGGGTGCTAAGCATGGGAAGGAGACTCGGAGCACAGTGGGAAGGGAGGAGGTGAAGGAAGGAGGCAAGAGAAAGAAACGTTGGGAACCATGTGTCTACAGAACAACTCGTCTACCACTTCCTTCCTGCCCTGCACCATCGCCAGCTGCTCGCTGGCGAGACAGGTACCTCTGAGGGAAGCGTGCCTTCGCACAACCAGCGGTGAACAGCAGGTGTGGGCAGTGCAGGAATGAGAATATTCAGACACACACAGGGTCAAAAGAAGTATTGCAAAGCCCTGGGGGAGGGGAGGAGAGCGCACCTTCATCCACGCTTCAAGGATTTTTTGTTAAGGAGCGCAGGGCGGACAGCCGCTGAGTAACTGAGATGGCGTGAGATTGTGCCACGTCCCCACCTCAGCTGCTGCCATCTCCCTCACGTATGACTTGTATTCACCTGCTGCGCTTCACCTGAGAAGGGGAGGTCTCCACAACTGCTCGGTGGTGTGCAGCAGCTCTCACATCGGTCAGACGCGTCTGAGTTGGGGACAAGCTCTTGTATGCCACATCCCAGGTGAGGTCGGGGCAGAGAACTGCTGACGATCCTGAAGCCAAGCACCATTTTTATCCCCTCTACACAGCGGTTCGGTAGGTGGCCCAGAGAAGGCCCCAGCTCATTCCCTAAGGGTGGCAGATGCCCACAGGCAGCAAAAAACTCAAGTCACCCCCACCCCTTATGGCAGCTGTTGTTTTTCCAACGCCAGCTATCAGTACGCTGATCAGTACACATCAGCAGCACACATCAGCTAGGAAAGAAGTTATTTTACACCCTCTCACACAGAAACCTTGGGGCAGCCCTGATGAGTACCGTGCCGTCTTCCCCCCACACAGCAGTGCGGACCCTCTTCTCCAGTTGTTCTTAAGATGGAACATTTGAAAGTAAAGGGAACTTCAGATCCCCCTTGAGGGCGTGAACATGCCCACCAGACTCCAGACCAGTTCTCAGACGTGGAGGGATGTGGCCCTCTGGTAAGACACTTTGCCTCAACTAGTGCGGCGACCACCGCCTGCTAACCCTCGTCACCGTGTCGGCACGCGAGCGAACGTGGCTTGCCGCAGGGGGAAGTGGAAGGTTGTCGCAGAGCGCAGCCACACCCTCTGGTGTGCTTCTTACTCACAGAGCACCTTCTCGGTTCCTCTGCCTGTGGAGGCCACCTTCCAAAGGTCCTCGCCCCAGGGAACAGCTCACGCTGCCGCCGGGGACGGGGACGGCCGTAGCGCTGCCTCTGCCCCCTCTGCCAGCCTGCCAGGACGTCTTCCCTCAGAAGCTGCTGTCATTGAGCAGGCTCTGGCTGCGCGGGGGTACTTGCTGGAAATGAACACCTCTAGGCATGGGTCAGAAGATCCTCTCTTGGTGTTTATGGCTGTGGCTAGCACCGCGCTGCTGTGAGGGTCTCACATCCTCGGGCGACCTGTGTCCCTTTTCTCATACTGTTCTCATCATCTGGTAACCAAACCAAGTCCGGGGGCCTGACTGCCCTTCAGGCTCTGGGGATCCTCCATGGCAGGTGCTCTGCGTTCAGGGTGGAGTTGCTGGTGCTGCCCCAGGGACTGCTCTTGCCCACACAGAGGGGAAGGGATGGCCCCACCATCTTGTCCACCTTCCCAGAGATGCAGGAGACAATCCCACTGCTTCTCCTTGGTCTGCTTGAGACAGGCCCAAACATGCAACAAATAAATGTTCCGAGGCTGATAAAAGCTACCTTCTCCCCTGCATGAACTCAGGACTAAAGAAAGTCCTCATGCACAGTGTGGACCAGGGAAAGCTCATGCTCCTCCTGTCTGAAGGGACTCAATCGCTGTTAACTCTCATCCTCTGGAGTTAGCTGGCTGTTCTCTGGAGCAGGTGTCCACCCCAGAAGAGAATGCCCAAAATATTAGGCCAGACAAGACCTCTTTTTATCAAGGACGTTATACAGTGGACACCTTCAACTCATAAACACATCAAAGGGCACACACCACCATTATGGAGCACACACCTCCACATTCATCTATGCACTTGGAGAAGACTTTTGCATGGCAATCATCGTGTGACTATGTAAGAAATGCTTCTTCTAGCACTACTTAACACTAACCAAATGCCAGGTCTGCTTTTGTGTATGGTCATCTTGGAGACATGGATTTTTTTGTAACCACTCCTGTTCAAAAAGCATTAAATTTCTTTGCCTCCATTTCTTAAATGTGTGCGTGTTCTTCTCTTTGGTCTTGTTTACTTCCTCTAGCTGACCCTATTTCCTGCAGGTTCCCAGAGGCATCAAACAGATGTGGTAGGCAGTTTCACTGGCTTACTATGGTGGGTGTTATATGGCACTACAAGTTTATGTTCTTCAGCTGCAGTTACTCGTTAAGAGGAGGGAGGAGAGAAGCATGAATTAGCTAGATCTAAACCACTATGTTGTAATACAGTGTGGAGGCACACACCAGTGGCCAGATTCTGGTTCCTGTATGCTGGGTAGTCTCTGACACAACTACCACCACCCACTTCAGATGGTTCCCCCATCTGACCAACCATAAACGATAGCTTCTTTTGGAAATCTGCCTCTGAAATCTCTACTGTTTGCATCTTTTGTTACTCAGCTTGAAAAAAAATGAAGACTAATGTCCTTAATTTCCTCTGGGAAGTGACTTTAGTAATTGATCAGCAGCTCTGTCTTATTTATGAGGCAGCCTGGTGTAGGGACAGTCCCCTGTACCCTGTTTTAGTGAAAAGGCATGCTGTAGTCAAGAAATCCCTTGTGAAGAAAGGCACTTTTTCCTGGAAGTAAACTAGACCTGACTCCCAGGGGCACTACAGGAGACCAGTAGGTCTTGGAAAACTTGCCTGTCTTAGATGCTTCCCCAAGACAAGCATCCCACTTGTTCCCCTGACGTGTCCTGTTGGTACCTATGGGATCATAACCTTTACTGACACATTTTTATGTGATGTAGACGCTGACCTTCCACCTTGTCTTCTGATTCTCAGGAAACATCAGCTGGAAAAAGAATAATGGAAAACTGTACAGACACAAATAACAGCTCCACTTGCGCAGGAATTCCCTACAAAGACAGCAAGACACTTCTGGTTGCTGTTTACAGCATTGTTTTTGCCATAGGCCTTCCAGCAAATTGCTTAACTTCCGTGCTTACGTTTATACAAATCCAAAGGAATAAAGTAATTGCCATCTACATTTTCAGTTTATCATTGTGTGAACTGATGTATTTAAGTACCTTGCCTCTCTGGATTATCTATGTGCAAGATGAGCACCAGTGGAATATGGGTATAAAGGCTTGCAGAATAACAGGATTCATCTTTTTCTGCAACATATACATCAGCATTCTGCTGTTGTGCTGCATTTCTGTGGATCGTTACGTGGCACTGGTGTATGCTCTGGAATCAAGGGGGAGAAGAGGACAGAAAAAGGCAATCATAATAGTGTGTTTTCTCTTTGCTGTGGTTGCAATAATCCACACTCCAGTATTTTACATGGAAGATTTTTCAGAACATATGAATAAGAAAACCTGCTTTGAGACTTTGCCCCTTGACATAAAATTGGCTTCTTTCAGCTTTGCCAGATTCCTATGTGGATTTGCCATACCTTTCACGATCCTCATTTTCACAAACTACAAAATTTTCCAAAGTACAGAAACAAGCAGCAGCTTGACTTGTCGCCAAAAAGCCAAAGTAAAGTATCTGGCTATCGCCATTATTGTAATTTTCCTGATCTGTTTTGCTCCCTACCACGTGGTACTTGTAATAAGATCCGTATACTTTATGTTTCATCAAAATTGCTCATGTCCATTTGAAAAAGATATATATTCAATTTTTACAGCGTTTCTGTGTTTAGCCACTGCAAACAGTGTTGCTGATCCAATCATCTATGTGCTGGTTAGTGAAAACGTCAGAAAAGACTTTTACAGGAGTCTGAGAAGATGGAGATTGAACTCATTCAAGCTGAATTCATCCATTAATCACAAGACTGAAAGCATAAACTTGAAAACATCAAAAGAATCACAGGAAGGAGGGCTAAGAGAAGAAAACAAAGAAATGCCACATTCATCTGACATTCAAAAGACCTGTAATAGTGGCAAAGACCAAGAAGGTGGCAGCTAGCAGCTAGCTGCTGACAAAAATAAGAAGTTCCCAACACCAGCTGTGGGCTGCAGACAATTATTTACATGCTGACATCCATAGGAAGCTTTGTCATAGTGCCTGGGCCAGCAACTCCTTGAGGACGCTACAGGAACGATACTTCTTATTTCTGTTTGTCTCCTACCCATAAAGCTTGTCCACCAGTATCATTGATGAAAATACTGCTTTGCTAAGGACATGTGGAATAAACCAAGTAATTTACTTTGACTCAGATTGAAATCTTAAAAGCTTATTTTTTGTACTGTGTCTTTTCCTCATATGAATTCAGAACCTGTTTTATCTTCTGAGATGGACAAAAAAATTCCCTGCTGAGGAGAACAATGTAGGGCCCATTCTCATGGTAGAAATTTTTAGTTCTTGAGGAGGTACATGTTCAGATTCTCATACATGTACTCTGTTGTAAACGTTTGTGGTTAACCAGTGGAAAATATAAAAAATGAGGAAGTCTTTCAACAAGAGCCTTGAAAATGCTCCTAATACTTCAGTATGCAGCTTTATCTACCTTGCACATTCTGGGGAGACTCAGAGGGCAAAACAGTGGCCTGATAACACAGACCAACAGTACTTCTCCTGCATTAGTCAAGATCCTGCACTGTCCTGAAATTCCTAAAATGTACAATTCTAATGCTTGACATTTTACAATTAGTAAATTTTACTTGTTTTGGAGTTAAATCCAGAATGCACTGAAGTATGTAGAAAATGTCTACATTTCAGACAGTTTTTATGCTGACTCCGAATGTTTGTTGAACTCGTGTTTCATTTCTGACTAAGCTAACAGTTCCCTTGTGGTACTGATCCGGCTTTTAGCATGCAGGAGTCCGTACAAGAGCTACGTGCCTTACTGACAAGGAAGGGCTGGCAGCATGGAGAACACAGTCCCTTCTCCCCGTGGACGGGAACTCCCTCAGACACGTTGCTGGTGCACACATGGGACTATGCTGGGGCAGATTTCATTGTTGCTGCTGCCACTTTCACTATGAATAAATTATTGATGGTAGTTTCCTGTGCCTTCAAACCAGAAATTAAAAAATAAAAAGGAGACAAATCTGGCAAGATTTATCTAAACGGCTTCTTCACATTCTTATGTGATCAAAGCAAAACAAAGATCATGAATCAGTTGGATGTTTATTTGAGTACGAGTTTATGAAGTGTTTCACAACATCATTCTGTTTCATCTGTAATGTTGTATTTCTGTAATATTTTTAATTGGTATTAATGATCACATTTCTGAATTGAACTAACATTAGCCAATGTTAATGTAAATACAATACTTATTAATGTTTTTAAATTGTCATAAGTATTTCTGTATATTATGCTTTATTCTTATACACTTTTTCAAAGAAGCATTGTGCCAAAATGGCATTTCCTGAAGTTATCGTATTTATGACATATTTAATTTTTGTATTATTTAATGACTCTTCTGGTATCTATCTATGAAATGCTTATATCCTCAGAAGTATTTCACATAATATTGAATCGGAGATTGTTTCTTGGAAAAATGTGAAATTCTGTTGTGATGCTAATTAACAAAATGTGTTTCTGTATTTTCATATGCACCCCAGAGATCAAATTCGCTAAGGTATCGAGGAGAGATCTGCAAAGTGCTGAATATCTGTAACTTTGCTGAAAATCAAACTTTCCATTACTAAAAAAATCATCAGCAGGCGTTGCTCACAACAGCCCCAGCCAGCCAGAGCATTGTTGATTAATCTCTGAAGACGCATATGCAAACTGCCCCAACCTCAGGATTTTCATAGTCTAAATTGCAAAACTCTGATGAATAACAGCAGTGACTTTAGAAGAAACTAAAGATACAGACTTGTGAACTAATTGAAATGGATGCAAATTAGATATTCACCTTGATGGATTTTGAAATGTCTCTGATGTCTTTCCTCTGATAAAACATGAGTATCTTTAGAGCAACCAATATTGGAGCCCAGTGCCGTAGGTGGAAGGGACAGGGATTAGCAGGGTCTGAAGCAACATCTGTAATTTTTTTGCCTTTACTAATTTACATGCTGTTCTCAATTACTATATCGTTATGCATCTTTTTTTAATGAAAATCCTTGGAGCTTCTTTGTTCAGATGCGCTCTGAAATAAAAGCCTTAGAGGTGACAAAGCCGTGTGCAGCCTGATCGAACTTTGAAGATGACCTAGATGATTTCCAGAGAGCTTTCCAAACTAAAATACTATGTATGTGACAAATTACCGAAGGGATTTGGGGCCAGGTACCAAGCAATATACCCACATGGGAAAACTGCAAATCCTGATTTATTTGGATAAATGGAAAAGCAGCTTTACATCTGAGTGAGGACATCAAGAAATGCTGTTTCCATGTTGCTAAAATAGCCCATCAGATAAACCAACTGTTTCTCACCTGATAGAAGCATGCGATCTGTTCTGTCACACACTGCCATACAGGCAAAGGAAGGGTCTCAGCACTGGGACACTTGCTGGAGACACAGCAAAGGACACGACTCAGGTCAGAGCAGATCTGGAGAGTGGATAGATTGTGTGGATGCTTCCATCCCTTCCTCCTGCAGAGACAGCACCAGTGAGCCCGCAGGCACTGCTGCGTGCTGTGAAGAGACGCTCGCCTACTACATCACATCTGCAGTTCTCAGCCCAGCTACTGGATCTGTCCCCCGACCTCCTCAACTCAGCCTCAGCTGTAAGATGACTTGGAGAGAGTACAGAACCAAACCTAGGCCGTGCTTCTCGACGTGATCTTTAGGCGGCCAAGTCTCCACACATATGGTTCAGAGTGGGCAAGTCACTCACCAGTGTAAGGGGGGCGAGATTTGAAAACTTCACTCTCTTTTGTATTCAGTATTTACTCAGGTATAACTTCCATAATTTGATTTAAAGATAAGTGGGCTACTTAACTAATAAAACATGATTTTATTTTTACACATGTCTCAGACATTCATAATGTACCTGGGAGGTAAGTGGATTGCTGATTATTTTAAGTATGACTGTGAAGCATGAAGTGAAAAATTTCTGGCTATGAACTAGAGCTGGCCAAACTAGTTTTTGCAGCCAGCATATCTGATGTTTTTTCATTCATCAATTTTAAGTTATTTCTAAATACTGGATTTTTTAAGTCATTGTTTGGGGTAACTTACTTATAAAACTCTATTCCTGTCTAAGAAATGCTTTCATGTTCACTATTAAATTTTGCTTCAAGAGGATAGTTATACAAAACAGGCAAAATGAGATACAAATTAACTCAGACTGTCTAAGCGTGACAAAGTTCGTTGCAGTTGGTGACCCGGTAGCTGGGCTATTTATTCCCTGCTATCACGTACAACCTAATGTCGAATTTCTGTCGAGTAGTGAGTGTTGAAACCTAACTCAGAGCCGGGCTTTCAAAAGTGTCCACAATCTAATAGCTTTTTTTTGTGAGCATGTTGTCTTCCTACAGATCACGCTATGGGACAGGTCTTTTAGGAAATACAGTTCTATAGAAATACATTTCTATATAGTGAAATGAGACCAAAGTTGCCTCGTAGGTTAGAATACCTCACATTTTCAAACCAGCACAAACTAAAGGTAGCAAATAAGGGTGGGGGGATTGCATCAAAGAGATGCAATCATTTTTTTAACCTCTTTGGTGTGCAGGGAAGCGTACAGGTGGCAGAATCCCCAAAGCTGGATCTCCCAGCATGTCTTCTGCAACTAGGGTCAAGAGAAAGGACACCTACCAGTCCTCTCCATCTCTTCTAGTGCCTCCTGGGGTGGTTTGCATCCCGCTGCACTCCCTCTTTCTGCTGCACAATTAACCTTTGCACAGGCGAGGGTGCTTCTCATACTCTTATTTGTACCAGGGATGCAGCATGACAACATGCCATGCAATCTTCAAGTGAAAGCAATGTGAACTATAAAAAGATAAAAATCTGTTATCCCAAATTGGACTAATACTAATATCCTGCTGATAGATGTTAGTTGCTGCCATCATGAACAACTGGTAAGAAAGAGTAGGACTCTAAACTCATCATGTCGCATCGCTATAATTCAAATCACTGATAACTTCTAAGGTTTTACTCTCTTACTTGGTCCTGTCAGAAATGCTCAGAGATAATGACGCAAAAAACAGCCTTGCAGACAGATGGAAAGTCTGCTGAGGAGAGGGGATAAGCTATGTGGTAAGAATTTCACAAAACATCACATGAATTGTGCCAAGTCCTTCACCTGGGTCACAACAACCCCATGCAATGCTACAGGCATGAGGAAGAGTGGCTGGAGAGCTGCCTGGCAGAAAAGGATCTGGGGTGTTGGTCGACAGCCGGCTGAATATGAGGTGCCCACGGGGCCAAGGCAGCCAACAGCATCCTGGCCTGTATCAGAAACTGCGGCCAGCAGGAGTAAGGAAATGATCATCCCCCTGTACTCGGCACTGCTGAGGCCGCACCTCAAATCCTGTGTTCCGTTTGGGGCCTCTTACTACAAGAAGGACATTGAGGTGCTGGAGCGTGTCCAGAGAAGGGCAACGAAGCTGGTGAGGGGTCTGGAGCACAAGTCTTAGGAGGAGGAGCTGAGGGAACTGGGGTTGTTCAGTCTGGAGAAGAGGAGGCTGAGGGGAGACCTTATTGCTCTCTACAACTACCTGAAAGGAGGTTGTAGCAAGGTGGGTGTTGGTCTCTTCTCTCAAGTACCAAGTGATAGGACGAGAGGAAACAGCCTCATGTTGCACCAAGGGAGGTTTAAATTGGATATTGGGAAAAATCTCTGCACTGAAAGCATTGTCAAGCCTTGGCACAGGCTGCCCAAGAAAGTGGTTGAGTCACCATCCCTGAAGGTGTTTAAAAGACCTGTAGATGTGGTGCTTAGAGACACGGTTTAGAGGTGGACTAGGTTAATGGTTGGACCCGATGACCTTAAAGGTCTTTTCTAACTTACATGATTCTATGATTCCAGGATTATCATCTACACAAGCAACCTCAAAATAAGCCTTCTCAGT